CCGAACAACGACTAAAAACAACAAACAAACAACTTCACATGCCAGATCCCGCACCCTCGCCTGTACTTCCAATGGAGGCACTCTGCGTTGAGGTGCGCGAAGGATGTGGATCGAACGACCAGGTTGGACAGAGTAGCCATAATGTCCAGGACCTAGCCACGACAAGGTCTAGTGTCCCTCGTGGCATTGAAACAAAGCTTTCCGTGGGTTCAGTAGAACATGGTAGAACCCCACGATTCATTGTATAGGTAGCATCGGATTGGTTGCAGGTAGCAAAGGAAAGGAACTGAAACCTACCAGAAGTGGTTGGCATAATGGTTTACACAGTCTGTGCAGAACCTCTTGCTGTTTCTCTCTCTCTCTCTCTCGTTTTCTCTCTCTCTCTCTCCCTCTCTCTTTCTGTCTCTCTCTCTCTCTCTCCTTCTCTCTTTCTGTCTCTCCCTCTCTCTCTCCCTCACTCTCCCTCTCCTATAAGTAAAAATAGCTGGATAGATAAATAAATAAAAAGATAGATAGCTAGATACATAAATAATCCGAATATTTTTCGTCAGGGTTTTAGGCTAAGTAGAATTCAACATTAGCTTGAAGCGCATCTCACGCATATTGTCGGATTCACGCAGATTCCACGAACAAACACAATGCATTTCAACGACACCCCCTCCCGAGACGGTTAGTAAGCAAACTCTCAAAACTCCTAAAGTCCATAAGCCAACCTGCCCGACAAACCCAAAACCCAAAACGAAACTGCTATTTAGCAACCCTAGATTTCAAGTCATGCCACCGTTCGCGAGCCAAGGAATAGCAGCTCCAGCGGACGGTGGCTCCTTTGATTTACCAAGTAGGGCTTGGCTCTGGGCGTTGAGGGATCTACGGCTTTACGTTATTTTAAGGTTCCCGGGGGTTTGGCGTCTAGGGTTAAACCGGATGTTCGGCAGGATCTACAACATGGCCCGACCTTTAGTTTTCATAATTCCCCTCTTCATGTGTTTGCTTGTCGTCCATCATCCAAATTACACTTTGTATCCCAGCATCATCTTTCCAATCGACCTCGTATGGCTGGCCATTTAGCCTTCGGATTGTGCAGAATGATAGCTACTTGTGGTCGACTCGTCGACCCTCCCTTAAACCCGTAAGTCTTAAGCTCTGCGCGGAGCACGAAATGTCTCTCTAACGGCTCTCCTGATCTCGAGAATCTTGAACACAAGGAACACGGTATAACATAGGGGCTTGCGGCCCTGCAACGCACAGTGCCCAAGGGGATTGGGATTCTTGAGGATAGCAACGACGCCGGCGCAGTTTTAGTTACAACTGTAGCTCCATCAGGACCTAAATTACCAGCAATCTCAAGCCCAGGAAAGACGATGCCGATCGGAAATCCCGACGGAGGGCCTCCAGCAGGGGTGCCCAGGCGACCCCGAGATGGAATTCCCCAAACCCCGAGATGGAATTCCCCAAACCTCCGCCGGGTCACTGGGAGGAGCCTGTCGTCGGCATGCGACTGAAGAGGGCGATGTCGGGCATGCCGGCCGTAAGATCCTTTGCTTCAGAGCACTGACGGGCCTAGGTTGAAGGGCTTCAGTCGGCTTGGCGGTACGCTTTCGCGAAATCTGCAAAACTTGGACTAACTTCGCCTAGATGGTAAAGTACGGTGCTTCCGTGGCCAGGATGAAAGTCAGGGTTTGAAGGCATGGGCCAGGGCCCAAACGGGAAATTTATTGTTGAAGGTTTGAATTAAACCCTAATCGTGTATTTCGAAAGTCTTCATTCCTGCACCGCCTAAACCCCCAAACCTTTCACTCCGAAACCCTAAATCGCAAACCCTCTATTACATCCGAAATAGAACGATTTCAGGGGTTCTGGAATGTCGGGCACCTGAACTAACTACCCACCAGACCGGCCGAGGAACCATCGGCCAGGGCACCGAAAAGCTGTCGTGAGGCTGGCGCCCAGCGCCTCAGCTTCAATTCTGGGACATTAAAGCGGCCTTGCAGCGGGTTTGCGCGTTTATTATGGTTGAAGGATTCGTGTGGTTGTAGCGAAAGAAACAGCTTAGCATTCTGGTTCAACGACTTCCCACGCAGGGCTGAGAATCTAAAACTTGGGTGTGTAATTATGTACGGAAGTTTTTTGCCGACCTTCACCATCCCTCACCCATGAACCCGAGACCTCCGAGCGCATGGTAGGTAGCTTTACCAACAGTCTCGGGCGGACACCAAGCCCTGAATCCAGAAGCCTGAAGCGCCGTCCGCAAAATCACCTTTATGCCCGTCATAGCTGACCGCTGCATGGGCACCCAAATTCCTGCACTTCGCGGTGACGCCCCCACCCACAACGCACTCGTAGCGGGCCAACTGGTTTGTAGCACGGGGCGCAAGGGATAAAAGACCCAGCAGTTGTTGGTGTCAGATGGCAACAGCAGTATTCATTCAGTTTGAAGCAGCAGTGAAGCAACATTTGTTGTGGCGCGAGCTGGGCACGAGATTGCTGCCCGATGTACTGGACAACAGATCACAAAACCATGCACGATGCAAAGGGGCCACCCAAAGCGCGGGAGACCTGGACCTTTAAACGCAGGTCAGATTAAAAAGCCGACGATTGCCGGTTGTGGCACTCGCTGGACATGGCATGAAGTAACCCTATAACCGATATGATCATGTCTCTCGTTCTTATACGTAGCACACGTAGCATTCGTAGTCGTCGCTGTCGCTATTTCTTTGCCTTCGACGCAGCCGTAGCGGTAAGCAGGTGGTGGTGTTGGTGGTGGTGGTGGTGGTGGTGGTGGCGGCGGCGGCGGTGGCGGTGGTGGCGGTGCCGCGACGTAGTAGTAGTCGCCGTCGCCGTCGTCGTGGTGGTAGTAGTAGTAGTAGTAGCAGCAGCAGTAGCAGCAGTAGTAGTAGTAGCAGCAGTAGCAGGAGCAGTAGCAGCAGCAGTAGCAGCAGCAGTAGTAGTAGTAGTAGTAGTAGTAGTAGTAGCAGC